GGGACGGTTGCTGTGAGAGACATGAACGTCCTGGATGACGGACGGTGGGTATCGGGTCTGTGGTGATGGCGGCGGCGGAGGATAATCGTAAACTGAGGGCGGTGGTTGCGAGACATAGTAGGGACGTTCGATCCGTCTGGGTTCTACTGGAGTTGAGGGATGATACAATCCTTGATCGCAATCCCGGCAGGTTCCTGGGACGTGACGCACATGAACATTGTCTCGTCGTCGGGGTCTGGAAGGGGACCGCTGAACTGGAGCAGCAGCGTAATGGCTTGGACTCGGATAGGTTCCCACCTGCATCTTGTCGTCACGCACAGGGCGTGCAGGCTTTTCTCTTGCACGATCTTTGCGAGATGAGCGAATTTTATCAAGGTCGGCTCGTTTGAGCGTGGAGTCGAGTTTAAGAGGGACAGGACTTTTCCGGCCCAATGGGCCAGATTGGGCGCTATTGACAGTGGCGGCAGTGCGACTGGAGTATCCTGAATCACTAGCACCATCAACCAAGGGCTCAAGTCCAGATCTCAGATTAGCCTTGGAGCGTTTTGTGTGAGCGACTTGACGGGTTTCGGGGAGAATGACGTTTGCGTCTTCGTCGTACTCCTCACAGAAGGCAGCATGAGGCACTTTGCCAGTCATGACTTCAGGGCAATGGCCAAGGCCCAGGTTGGGTCCCTAACTAAAGGGGAGGGGGCTGGTAGGGAAGGACACAGTGGATGACGTGAAACGTGGTGATCCGGCTGGCTTCGGTTTGCTTAGTCGATTAACAGGAGCCACCGCTGCTGCTCATTCAGGTTGACTCAGTTTTTCTTTTTTCTCTTTCCCCTTTTTTTTTTGAATTTTCTCCTTTTTTACCCTTTCGCCTTACCCAATATGGGTAATATGGTAAAAATTCTCCGTTCGTGGTTTGTTCCTTCAACCCACTTTCTGCGATGGTCCGAAAATGTAGAACGGCCTGCAGGTCAGGCAAGCAGTAGTAGAGTGACGGCGCGCGTCTAGATCGCGGGCTGTCAGCGGCGGGCAGTGGATGCAAACTGGTAGTCGTCCTTCAAAGCCTGCAAAGTCTCCATCGAAGAATATTCTTTTTTTTCCTGTTCGATTTCCTTCAAGGAGATACTAACGAGAAAGAAGCAGACAGCGAGTGAAGCCGGCGTTGGTTGGTCCGACGCACGAAACTATCCAGGTGTGGCAGACAGAAGAGGCGGTGGGTCGACAAGCAGAGAGCAGAGGGAAGTGGCAGATACGGAGCAGAAACAGAGACTGACGGGAGAAAAAGAGAAGCGTGCAGTCAAAGATCTGGCGACCGATGAATGGAGGACTGGCGAAAGAAAAAGTCGCCTGGCTGCAGAGTGTAGATGCAGACCAAGCGTGTAACCAGTAGTCTGTACTAGTAGTATACCGGTTGGGTGTTCGTTTCTTCCCAGGTGATTAGGCCCTGACGAGTGGACGAGTAGAGACCCGTAGACCACAGTAGGCTTGAAGGTGGGGTTGGGACGTAAAGAAGAAAATGTGGTGAACTAGTAACTGTGGAGAATGGAGAAGAGATTAGATAGGTAGATAGACAGAAAGAGGAAGACAGATTGACAACGTGATGGAACAGATCCAGTCAGGATGGACGATCCGTATATCATTGGGTAGAATGATACCTAGGTAGAGTAACCATGGAGGAAGATCTGAAAAGGACAAGATGAAGACTGACAGAGAGGGGGAAAGTGAAGGGGGAGAGGGAAAAGAGGCTGCAAGGACAAAGATACGCGCAGATGGACGCAAAGTCTTTTTAAGTCGTTGTTACCCAACGGAAGAAAAATAATAATAATGGGCAATAATTAAACCAAAAAGCTGATCGTGAAGAAACGGAAGAAAAAGAAAATCATAATCGAAAAGAAGTATACCCGAACGGACGAGGGAACTTTTTCTCGCCTTTTCCTTTTCTGTTTTCTGTTCTTCTTGACCAGTGATGATTGAGAATGAAGGAAATAATTCTCAACAATACCTAACATTTATTCATTGTCAACAGCAACTGTGTGGAAGTACGGAGTACAGAGTGCTGTAATCCCTCGAATTGTCAGCGAGGTGGGGAGGCGTTGGAAGAGTGAGTGGCAACCGAACGATGCCTGATCTGCCACTACCCAGGTATCTATCTTAGATTAGAATGCTTTTTAACATATATAGATAGATAGAGGACAGACAAAAGAATTTGAAACGACGAAAGTGCGTCTATCGGTATTCGAGACCCTAGAATAGTTTGCTAGTATTAATATAAGAATGCTCGATACTATCTTAATCTACGTTACATAGAATCTGCAAATTCTTAACCCTTCTTTTGTCCAGGACCCAGGTTACCGAAGCATCTACAGTTGACGGTCAACAGTCATAATCTCCAGCAGGCAGAACTCAGCAGAAGGCTACTGTGCACAGGTGATTATTCCATTGGCCCGTGTGCCAAAAGACATTCCGATGGGGCACAGAATGACCATGGAAGCCCCTGGATCAACGAGGTTCGGATCCCATCTACGGAGTACAATGATAGAGTCATACACATCATACTACTACATAAATATTTACTAGGAAATGATAAGAAATCTACATTGAATAAGACCAAATATTGCTAGTAATCGTAGTACCCGACGTAGTATCAAAATTGGATAAGGCAAAACAATGGGATCCCTGGCTCCGAACGGAACCAACCATGGAACAGGTTTAGTGACACGACAACCATTCTCCACTACTCTACTCTACCTACTCTACCTTACTTAACTGTCAGTCTGTCCTCCAGCAATGATGAATGCCCTCTGCCTTGGGATCCTGTGACCAGATGAATCATTTGCTTTCGATATTTTGTACAAGAATTTGACTCTCTTTTCTTTCAATTCTTGAATCTAGTTCCGGCAGAGTATCAACAATTTCTAATCCGAGATTCTCCTGTCCCAATCGGTGCCCAAATCCATTGCGGCCCAATAGTTCTGGCGTTGGCCTCCACTGGTCCATCTTCCTTGCTCATGTCTCCATCTTAAAAAATTTTTGATCTCGACGAGGGGCAACTTTGAGTCTTTATTTCTCGAATAAATCGGATGCCCCTCTGTCTACATGATTTTCTGTCAGTCTTTCCAAGACTATCCTCTTTGTCAGACGTTACCATCAGGCAGCACATTCCTTGTATCTCCATAGCCACGACCTGATACCGGTTCAGTTCCAAGTGCTCAGCCTCGAGATCTTTTCATCCCAAAGATCTGAAAAGAAGGGGGGAAAAAATTGTTCCTTGTGAATAGAAATGAATGATTACCCCACTTGCCGTGTTTGTCTAGTTCTGATAAGATTTATACACATCTAATGATCTTGTTTCATCCCTGGATAGAGTCAGAATATTAGACGAAACTTACTGGTCCAGAGCCTTTCAGATGGTGGGTTGATCAAATAATAATAATATTATTACACTGGCATCGAACTCCCTTAGAAGCACGCTAGAAAACATCCGTCAGTTGAAACCCATGTGTTGGGCATCCTGGTCTATATCGACAATGCTAGGGTATTACATCTATTAATGGTCATCATGCTGATGACACATATTCACAACAAAGGTCTGCTCCTGCTCCAGGATCATCAATTTCTATCTGTGTAGCCCAGGTAATTTTAGAATCCCTGAAACCTCAAGATCATATTTTGGTCGAGTGCAGACTCCTTGGATATCCACTTGGGCACAAATGCTATTTTCTCTCACGTTTCGTCGACATCCATATCCGCGGCAACTTTTCTTTGAATCTCTGAGTCATATCCAGATACCAGCTCACCAGGAGAAGCATGTTGTTTCTTACGTAGATCAATTGTCCTGCGTATTGACTCCTGAATGATCCATCCATCAGGTACGTATTTTCCGCAGTGCTTGTTAGCTAAGTCATGCACAGATTACCCAAGTGCCTAACAAGGTCTCTTTCCACGGACGACGACTTCTGGATCACTTCCATTTCCCAGCTACGGGTGGTATGATCCAGTCTACTTGTTCAGCTGAAAGCACTATGTGGTGGATGACGGTGGTAGATCCTTTGATTGACTGAGGTCAAGCATTACTGGATGTCATTTCCACTTCCCATTGCTTTTTCTGCTAAGTAGGTTTATCCTGGTCTATGTTGAAGCCCACCTATTTCCTGTAAGTCTAGTGCAAGGCTGCCCTTTGATCTCACGGACTGATTAAGCTTCCGTGTTAGTCTAGAGATCTGAGATCCTGGGTGCATTCGCAAGAAATGCTGAGTTGGACTGTTTATCCCTGTAAGGAATTATTCTATGCTTTTCTTGCAGTATTCCGCTATCGTTGTGTCGTCATCTCAATCTCTTATAATATCATTGAAGAAATCATTTTCAGATATAGAACTAAGCACCAGGCCATCGGCACCTGTACCTTTACGCTCAGACATCAGTGGTTATGGCGCCCTGAGGGGTATCTTAAAGTGTATAGCATATTGAAAGTCTCATAAAATAAAATATTCGCCTAACGTACTCTGTATACCTTTCTTTCATCTTGTTAATTCGGTTCCGTTTGTAGGCACATCCATCTTAGTATTTAGCTTATCGATATCGCCAAGCTGGTTAATTTATCGATAACATGATGACTCAGCAAGTTGCCTGTACAACGCCGATCGCCCAAACAAAAGCGTCATTCCCAGCCTCCCTCATTATATCCAACCACCCCAATTTCAAGAGTTCTACGTCGCTCGAGCCAGGTCTGCGTCTCTCAGTATATTCTGAGTTTTCTCCTCTTTATTTGGGTAAAATCAATTTGTGAATTGCCAACTGCCGACATATTTGCTAACATACATTCCTGATCGGAACCACAGTCATACCAAGTGGAGCTGAGAGCAACATTCTTTAAAGATACAAAATCCGGGGATCGACCTTCGAGGGTAAAACCCCTCATTCCACGAGCACCGTTAATCAAGTGCGCTACACTGGTCTCTCCAGAGTCCGTCTTGAGCTGCGTGCTCTTGACAACTCTGTTTCCGCCTACTATGCCTCCTGTCCAACTAGTGGGGGACTTCCCCAGTGTTTCTCTTGAGTATATCGTCGGCAGAGAGAACCAGGTCGCCAGTCATGGCCTCGATACTACCGATCGCTCTGTTCCATCATCACCAGCAGAGGTTGTCAAAACATTGACCCGCAGAGCAGACGCGGCGAAGACATATGTCCCCGGTCACGGAACAGTCGACCCCCAGAACATCAACATGCAAGGGCTATTAGCATTATTTGCGTTGATTGGAGCAGCATTCGTTCTCGGCGCCATCTGGTTCTTCTTCTGGGCAAAGAATGGTGGATTTATCTGGAGAAAAGGAGACTGGGATGAATACAAATCTACCGTTCTGCGACGCAAAGGCCCAGACGGACGAACCCTCAGTAATGCCACGAAGAGTACGAGACTTGGTGGGGGCAGTATCGTTGGCAAAGGCTATAGCGACGATGGGTACACGGTCGCCGATAGCGCCGGATACACAGACACCGCAACCACGATCACTGAAAAGGAGGAGGGAGACCACAAGCGCAAGCGCAGATTCCGGGAGACGGCTAAAAAGAAGCTCCTGCGCAAACGCAAGGACGAGACCTGGGAGGGCGAAGCCGACGAAGACGTGCGTGCCTACCGCAAGGAGAAACCGGCCCGGATCGGCGGCATCAATCGCGAGGCGGACGGAACCTACCACGGTAGTGACTACGACACCTCCAACCCACCCACCTCCTACAACGCGAGCGAGATGAGCGAGGTACGAGACTACGCGTACGAGCCCGCGCGCCAGAGCCGCAATTTCTCTTTCACCCCCGGAAGCGAGGATGTCCTGAGTCAGACGACTGAGGAGCGCCAACAACTCCGCGAGCCATCAGCGAGACGACACGATCGTCGCCGGGAGAGACGTCGTGCTCCCCCGACCACCTCATCGCGCCAGGGCAGCCCGCGCAAACGAGACCGTCACTCCATGCCGGGTCATTACACCGAGCCTCTGGATTTCTCGTCAGCGGGCTCCAGATCCGAGTATCAATACTCTAATGTGGAGACGGATGACGGATCCGGGACCAAGAGCTACCATCATCCCATCCCAGGTCTTAGCAAGGGATACCGCCGCGAAGGCGGACGGAGCAGAAGACGGGACAGTCTGAGCGACAGCGACGGTGACTGAACACGGTACTCATGAGAGACCCAAATTTAGCAACGACTTATGGAAATGTGCGCCTCCTTTTTACTTTTTTTTTTTTTTTTTTTTTTTTTTTTTTCTCGTTGCCAGCTACAGGTTGTAAATAATACGACGCCTACATGAAGTTTCATCTTGTGTTTTATGTTCAATGATTGCAACGGATATGACGAATGGATGGGATGGATTGGACTGAAACGATACAGCAATGGAAGTTTTATTTTTGGCAGGGATATGTATGGGCCACGAAGTCTGATCGTGTCATGAAACATATCATCTTCTTCTCTTTGACTTTGAGTTTAGCCCAGGGGGATTCCTTGAAATCAGCTAAACACTCCTGTAACTAACATGAATGGACGGAATAGCTAGACTATTTAGTCAACACCAACCATTGCTTCTTAGGATGACCTCAGCTGAAAATAATCTCGGGAAGGGCACTTCATCCGTCCAATACCAGAGTGCGTAGCAGTTCTTTAGCTGATGCTAGGCTATCCAGGAGATACCTAGCTCAAAAGCACCCACTATACGAGGCACCGCAAGCCACAACCCATCCTTACAGGGACACCCATGCCTTGCTATGAGCTGAAAGATCGATTCGCGGAGGAGGATACAAGGTAATCTACGGAGATATGGATGATACGGTAGACTTTTCACTGTTGCAGAATTTATCCATTCGGGAATATAGACATGCTTGGTTGATATCAGTCTTATTGAAATTGAGGTACTGAGTATTGCTGAGTCTTTGATACGATGCGTCTGCCAATAGATGTGGGTTCTGGTTCGCCGGAATGAGGAAACCGCAATAAATAAGATGCCGGTGAGGTAGGGGGCAGGTGTTGAATGACAAGAGACGAGAAATATTTGACGGATGCAATCGATGCGCCGAGCCCAATCCAGATCTATACATGCAATATGCAAGGAAACCCGAAACCGAAACAAATGCAAAACGCGAGATAACAGACTTGCGGAAGAGTAAGAAAAAAGTGGTAGGCAACGAAGTAATTGACGGAGCAATGAGAGGAAAGTATTATAAAGATAGAGTGCGTACACGTGAGGCGCAGGAAACTCTCGTTTTAGGAGTAATGCCAGGATCAGACTTGCTTTTCTGGAGCCGAGGTCTGGTGGCCTTGCTTGTCTCGGTGGCCCCTGTGTAATCATAATCATCGGCTTGGGATAAAGCCTGCGGGGAGTTTCGGACTGTATCGTCCGAGAACCACACCGTCAAGGCCAAGCGACTGATATTCGCATCATCCCAACCTTCGTCCGACAACTGCTGGAGTTCTGGAGCGGCTTTGAGACGCGAGATCTCTACCGACGAGTGCCGGAGTTGGTGTAGAAGCCACTTGTTGATGAACATGGCACTGCTGACTTTAGCAGACCCTGGCTCGTAGAAGGGGGAAGAGTCGTCAATCGCTGACGTCTTCAGAGGATCTTCGATTTGGGATGCGACTTCTTCAAGACCCATTCCGTATAGAAAATCCATCTCTCCGGTGTATTCTTCGGTCCGGAGTCCTCGTTCGTCGCAGATAGCTCGGAGACGGACAATGTCCAGCATTGTCTCGTTGAGTTCCTTCCGAATTTGCGTCCTCGACCCGTCGTATGACCGCAGGAATTGTAGAGACTCCTCATCCAACGAGATGTTGAGCGAACTTCGTAGCCTTTGTTTGTCAACAATGGTGTACCATTGTGAATCAAGCTCCGCCAAGCGCTCTTGTAGTATCCGCGCATCTCCTACTCGTGAGAGGTAATCCACTACGGCAGGTGGGTATTCCAGAGGCTCACCACGGCACGAGTGTGCGTCAAAATCGGAGGCGCTGCTTTCAGCCTGAGGTATCACCTTCGATAGTCCTGGTGGCGACTCACGTAATGATTTCGCGAACCGCTGCATAGACTGGATGAGCACATACTCATCTTGGTCCAGCTCGTCTTCCGCCCGATGATACGTTTGCTCCAGGTCCAAGTAAGATTCCGTGGCCGACTGAAGCTCTTCAATCAGGTCGGCGAGCTGGTGATCTTGTGCGAGGAGCGAGTTGAGTCTCTTCATCAGCACGGCCCTATGGTTTCCCTCATCTTCTCGCTTGTAGCGTAGAGCAACGCGCATTTCTCGTGCCCGAAGCCTTCTAGCAGAGACATCCTCTAATTGTTCGATCAGCCGCTCACCTGCGGTTTTGTATTCAAGTGGTGGCACATGGTCACGAGCTTCGCTGGGCTGGTTGGAAGCTTGCGACTTCCAATCCTGTCCCCGGTCGACCTGTAGATCATCTGAATGCTCTGTTGGGTTTGTTGGAGATGGCAAAATATCAGCATCCGTGTCCCTACAGGAACCACTGTGTGAACGGGTCAGTCCGTGCAAGGGTCTGCTCACGATACTGTTGCGCTCTGGATGATCATCGTGACTTCTCGATGTACCAGGTTGAGATAACCTCCTGTGGGGAAACTTTAAGAGCGACGTGGTTCCTGGATCTGGGCCCAGTGGATCGGTATGAAGGTCCAGCTCCACAGTGCTAGACGGCCGAATGTCCCCTCTCCTCCTCTGCGCATCATGCGAATTTTTAAGTCACTTGGGAGATCTCCGAAAGACAGGATAACAAGCGAATATAAGCGACTCACCCCTTTGTAGGTTGGATTTGGATCCTTCATCCGACCCGGCCAAGACCCCATCTTGCAACTACAACAGATCAGGTAGTGGAAGCTTCCCTTACCCTTACATCTTCTGGGTCTAGGAGACTGGGCAAGAGAGTGAAGAAAGAGATCAACTTGGATCAATATTTCTCTCCTAGCCCACGTGTGTACCGATCGTTGGACTACTTGTGTTGTTGAGCGACAGAAAAGGGGGGGTTAGGCCGGAATGCTTTTTTGTTTACGTTGTGCCTTGGTGCTTCACATTTCTCCCGAAATTTGGCCTGCACCATATAATACTGACTTGGCCCGCCTTGCTACTGTTTGCTTTTCCCCGGTAGTCTTATTCTTTCATGGTTTGTTTCCTGGTCTTTTGGGTCATTTTCCAATAAGCCGGACGAAAGGGATATTGCCCATCTATCCCCTATTTCCTTGCCTGGATGCGTCACGTTGGATGAGTCTCATAGGCGGATGCCGGCATCGCTCTGTGCGACCTCCCAATTATCAAGCGGGAAGGGCGACAGGCATCATTTCATGTAACTCGCAGTTCTTCCCATGACTGCCAACAATTAAAAGACTCAGATTCCTGAAAGGACAAAAGATATTGATAACAGCCTTGCGAGAGTGTTTCAGGAGTCGTGGCTTTCGAACCACACGGGAGCGTTCGGCCTTGCCGTGCCGTCTTATTGGCGCTACAGATTCGGTGAAGCTGGTGATGCGCAACTGAGTGTCTTCTACTGGTCAGACGGTCCAACCCGTGTAGTCTCCGTTCGAGGTGCAGTAGTAGTTCCTGTCAGACCCCTCCCCCATTTCAGGGAGAGACCATGAACTAAGCTAATCAGTATCGATGGATAGCAAAGCATCCATATGCCGACCCCTTCGAGGCCAATCAAGAAAAAGAGGGTGCTTATCCCGGACCTCGTAAAGCCAGATGCGACTTTCTTGGGTCGTTTGTCATGTGCGACATCTCATCTACGAGTAGAATTCGGACAACAAAGTAGCCACACATGCCTGGCGCTGATCGTGCATCGAAGCTGTTCGGTCAATATGATCATTCTACCAACATAGAGGGAAGTGAGTGACAGCAAAAGAGCCTCAATTTGGCTCCTTCAGCCCTGGTATGTCGGTATGGACTGCCACTACCGTCGGTTTGCCTTTAAAGCAGCCATGCAGTCCAATAGTCCAACTGTTTGAAAGCTTCGACTCTCGCACCTCCAGATTTTCTCGATCAAAGTATTTCGACAAATTCAAGCGGTGTCTTATTCAATTGTGACTTGTCTGCAACTTTCGGGACATGAAGTATGGCCAATTCCGAAAGAAGGCAGCGACGTCAGCGTCCAAGTGGTAGCGAGGCCTGTACGAACATCACCTCAGATCCGTCGCAGAAAGCTCATTCATGCATTTAGCTACTCAGCGTGACGACGTAGGACAGGGCGATCGATCATCGAGACACGAGGCGTCGAATTTAAGACGGTAGAGAGAACATTCCATGCTTGCTCACGGTCAATGCTGATGTGACTTGCTTAAGTGATGTTCCACGCTCGTCATCAACTCTTCTCTACCCAGATGAAAGTGGTCGTCCTGCAAGTGATGTGACTCTCGCATCCCCTTCATATGGCCTGTCATCCCGACATGGGGGACAGCCGAGCAATTTTCCAGCGTATGTTGAAAGCATATAGCTCATCTGGGAGGTATGGACCATGATATGAAAGGTACTGACGGGAGGAAACTTGAATAGTGTTCAGAATATAGTACAGAGATCGCTGCGCCATTCAGTCCATGACTCGACCCGGCCCATCAGTTATCTTTCCGGTGCCTACGATGGAGATGTGGCCGGTGAACGTGCATACAACACCCAGAGTAATTATCGTGCCTCTGCTTTGGAATCCAATTCTACAACCATGGACACTCTGACTACTGATTTTGCACATATGGGAACCCGTTTCCTAACCCAGGGATCCGGCGACCTAAACAGCGATATTCTTGAAAGTCATGATTATCGGCCAGCAAGACCTCACCAGGATCACCAGCATAATTCTTTTCCGGCGTCTAGATACAGTCCGCCAGACTTGGCTCCCACCCGCAATCCTGGAGCGCATCGAAGTGCCACTGGTCGCCCGATGTACTCTCCTATGCCCGGAGTAGGTTCAGATCATGCAGAAACACATGGCACACCTGAACAGAGCAGTCCTCCCCTTGGGGTAAGTGAACATTTGCAGTCCAGTTACAACACATTTCTAAGTGATAATATAGACTCTGCGAAATCGAAAGGCTTACAGCATCCGCGGAGAATCACATGGGGTGTATGAAACCACTCTTGATGGGCGTATGTAATATATGTTGCCTATGGCCCACCTTCAACTATCTAA